AGTTTATATCAATCCATTGAGTCTTGCTAAAAGTCTTTGCCTGCTTGGAGAGTTATTTATTCTAGTATTAATAAACTTTATCCAGGATTGATGAGGAAATTCTTGCATTACTCCATCTGCAACAAATCAATCTACCACGTTAGCAAAGCTTTCAAAATATGGTTTTATAGTTAATATTAATAAATATTTACTGGGTACCTACTATGTTCCAGGCACTGTGTAAGGTGTGAGGAATATAAGAAAATCTCATTATCTAAAAGTGTTCCTACACACAAAAACTCGGGGTGCAGACTGCCATCTTGCCAAGGTGTCGTTTTAGTGACTGACATGGATCAGCACCTCCAGCAGTCAACAATGACAGCAGGCAAAGCTGCTTCACAGGGAGTTACTGATCCTGCTGCTGTATTTTGCTTGTCACTCCTTTGAAAGATGCTTACTTTGAAGATCTCGATCGTGTGGGAGAGGAAGCACGATGTAACCTATAAATTGAGCAGCAGAGAGGTTTTAGAGCCGCAAGTAAATCCCTTTGTCGGTAACTCAGAGAGATCACAGCAGAGGTAAACATAGGGAAGAAAATACAAAAAAGACTCCGTGATCTTCATGATAAAGGAGTCAATTGCTTCTCCAATAAACATTTTTTTAAAGTACTGCAGCAAGAACAGAACAGAAGAGTCTCTCTCCCAACTCTTGCCCAAAGGAAGAAAGATCTAAACAAGGGAGACTCTCCAGGCTTGTGAAGGTACCGCCATGAATAGTTCCAGGAACCTTTCGATGAAAAGTATGTACTTCTTAGATTTGGTTCCAAATTAGTCCCAACATACCTGGCAGTGCTCTCTTCCACTCTTATTGAACCTGAAGAAAAAAAATTCTGATACATCATTGATCATTCATCAATTCCCCAAACTGATAGTAGCAAACTTCCTCAGGTTGACTGTTAGGCCTTGTTCATCAGGATTGTGCAGAATGTTCGTATGAGGCAACAGGTTTTATATCTGCAGTGATTTCCTCATTTTCCATAAAAATAATATAACAAAATGCTGATATAATTTAAATTTCATCCAATTTATTATATTTTAAATGTTTTCTACATGGAGACAGCGAAGAGGCATGATCACAGAAAATGTCTAAAAATTTAATGGTTAATGTCTTTTAACTCAACCTAAACCACCTAAATTACAGTAAAATCTCATTTATTTAGACTTAATTTAAATGTGACAAATCTACATGACATTTCACTGAAGTTGATCTGTGAAATTAGATGTATAAATTGAATACCAATTTACCACTTCTACAAGAATTGGTTAAACTCCCTAAGTCTCTATTTACCTATCTGGAAAATTGGGGATAGTCTCTAATCTATTTTTACTTTTTCTAATCACCCATACTGTTAATACTCTATTCCACAAACATCTAGTGCATAAAATAACACAAAAGCCTCCTAACTAAACCCTCTGCCTCCATTCTTGCCCACCCATCCCCCCAAAATATGGGCTATTATTATTATTATTATCATTATTATGGCCATAGTGATTTTAAAACTCTGAGTCAGAGAATATCACTCCTCTGCTCAAGACTCTGTAACGACTTCTCATGTTCTTCAGTGAAATCCAAACTCTTTCCCACAGCTGACAAGGCCTCTGTGAGCACCCCACCAACACTACTTCTTCTCTAAACTCACCTTTCTTTTCCCCCAAGGTTTATTGAGGTATATTTGACAAATAAAAATTGCATATATTTAAAGTGTACAGTGTGATGTTTGTATATACATACACATTTTGAAGTGATTAATGAAACTAATTGAGATATCTATCACCTCACATAGTTACCTTTTTCTTCTTTTGTGTCTGTGGTGAGAACACTTAAGATCTACTCTTTTAGCAAGTTTCAAGTATCCAATACACGCTTATTAACTATACTCACTATGCTATACATTGTCTCCAGAACTTACTCATCTTATATCTGACAGTTTGTACCCTTTGACCAACATTTCCCCCACCCCCTAGCCTCTGGTAACCACTATTCTGCTTTATCTCTATGACTTCTTCTTTTTTAGATTCCACATATGAGATCGTGTAGTATCTGTCTGTCTGGTTTATTACACTTAGATTAATATTCTCTAGGTTCATCTGTATTGTCACAAATGGCAGGATTTCCTTCTTTATTAACGTTGCATAATATTCCATTGTGTGTGTGTGTATGTGCATCCTAAATATCTGCTGATGGATGAATGAATAAAGAAAATGTGGGATGTCCATTTCCTTTGAGATCTGAGAAGATCCTAATTATGAGATCTTGCCCTTAATAACTGTGGTTAATTATACAATAGCTGGTACAAAACTTCTGCTAATTCAGTGTTAAAGGTATAAACATAAAAGTCACCAAAGCTGGGTATGGTGATTTAAAAATACAGCCCGAAATTCTTTGACATTCCTCACATTGGGAGGGACTGTGCAGCCCTCATTCACTTGAATCTGGGCAAGCTTGCAGCTGCTTTAACCAATAGAGTACAGACTTCTTAGGTTAGATCAGAACAGGTCATGTAGCTTCTACATCATTCTCTGGGGATGCTCACTCTGGAGTAGGCCAAGCACCATGTAAAATGTTTGACCACTCTTGAGACCTCCATGGTGAAGACGCCATGTGTGGGCACTTCAATCTATAGTCCCAGCTAAGCTTCCATCTGACCAGCATCTACTGCCAGCCATCTTGGATGGCTTGGAAGGCTCAAGGCTGGCCCACTTGAGCCTTCAGATGGCCACAGCCCTGGCAGACATCTATCTGTAACCGCATGAGAAACCCCAAGTGAAAACTGTCCAATCAAGCCCTTCCTGAATTTCTGACCCACAAGACTGAGCCTAAGATTAAAGAGTTGCTGTTTTACATTTCTAAGTTTGGAATCAACTTGTTACAAAGCAATAGAAATTCATATACCAGGAAATGTAAAAATTGAGTTTCTTATCACACACCTTTTCACCTGTATTGTTCTGACTCTACCTTCCACGTGGTAAGAAAATGATCCATTTAAAATGTAGTCAAATATAAACAATGGCTTTGATTCACAAAACAAGATAGAAGAATTTTAACATTGGAAGATATTATTGATTTCAGTCTCTCGAAAATGCAGCCCATGGAGCTTATAGCTTATCAGGAGCACTGAGAAGAGCGGCGGTCAAACTACTGGACCAAATCCAGCACACCGCCTGTTTTGTATTAAATAAAATAAACATGGTCCACAAAGCCTCAAGTAGTTAGTATCTTTCCCTTTACCAAACATTCGCCAACCCCCAAGATAGAGAATGGCAAAATTGAAACAGGAACGTAAGTGTTCCGATTCATACACCAGTGTTCTTTTCTCACTGTGCTCCCTGAGAAGAAGAAAAGTTTTCATTAACATCAGCATGTTTTAACAAGCCTATTTCCTGATCCTGTAAATTCCCATCAGTACTTAAATTTTGTAAGGACTTTTTTCTTTTTGGGTTTTTGTTTTGTTTTGTTTTGTTTTTGCTCTTTTTGTTTTACTTTAATTTAGCTTTCAAAAAGAGAGTGGTCACAGAAGGAAAAATATACATTATGTAAAGTTTTCTGTGATACCATCAGTGAAGGAGAAAAAAAAAAGGAAAATTGATATCTTAGACCGGGGGTTGGTAAACTTTTCCTCTAAGGGCTAGAATATTTCTCTCTTTGCAAAACTATACAGTGTGTGTCAAAACTACTCAACTCTGCTGTTTAACCAAAAGCAGCCATAGATAAGCCTTAAATAAATAGGCGTGGCTGTGTCCAATAAGACTTTTTATTTACAAAAACAAGTGGTGGGTCAGAGTTAGCCTGCAGCCCTACTTTGCCAAGCACTGTTTGAGAGAATTTGATGACACACAGCTGGGGGAAGGTAATGCTGCTGCGTATAGTAAAACTGTAGTTACCAATTCTACACAGAGAGGTGGGGGGATGTCAAACATGAAGCTCATGTAATAACAATATTTTGCCTGTGTGGTGCATGCTTTGTTCACTCTACTCTAAAAGAATACTTAATATCCAGTTTGGGAATATTATTGAATTAGAGTTGACTTACAGTTACTGAAAGACCTCATAAGTTAAAATTCAGTCTTTATTATTACAGCTTGAAAGTCTTACTTTTTTTACAGTTGATTTATTTCTCCCAGAAATAACAGGAGACCATTCTAGATTTCAATAGCCCATGAAAACAGCTACTTCGCAGCCTTAGAATCCTAACACAAGGTCGTTTTTCACTCTGCTGCCAAACTTTCCTAAACATAGTATTCTCAGATTGTGTGAGATTTTTTTCCTCCTAGTTTTCAGAACCCCTGAAGTTTTCCCAATACAAAAAAAAGGCTTATTCTTACCAGTTAGTAGAGGGCATTCTACTTTCAAAGGGAGAGGATTTCTAATCCCCTCCACAGGGCTTTACACTATCATAAATTTCCTGGACATGCTGTCACCTACATAAAGGGCCAACATCACCTAAATGCTAACCACTCAGGGGTAAGGTGGATGGGGTGACGAAGACAGTGACCCAGTCCTATTGCACAGAGTTGAAGGTGATATTAAAGAGTAGACTTTTAGAAAAGAAGTATGCTTTATTTTTCAACTTAAAAACTGCCTACTTGAACAAAAAATAAAATTTTTTCCAGTGCTAAAAGCAAATAAGTGGATTTTCCAGAGATTCAAAAAGAAAAAGAATATTTTCTTTGTGCCTGAGATATATATAGATTTCAGAAAGATTTAAAAAAATGCACTGATAAAGTAAGCAACTAATCAATTAGAAATTCATAGTAATGTTGATTATATAAATATATAAATGCGTATATATAGCAATAATTATAAAAGGCAAAATACAAACATTATAGTATTACTTTCAACCACTTCAATCTAAAGAATAGGAAATTTTAAAGTGTTTGCTTTGAAAGCTCACAGAATTATCCACGTGTAAAAAATCCAAAATTGCTGTAAAGTGTAAAAATTATCCTTTTTTCCACCTACAGGTAAGTCAAAATTGCTGTGAAAATTTTCTTCAAACTTTTTGAAAAGAAATTATCCAGAAAGAAAAATCTCTGAAGCTACACAATGAAAACTTCAAGGATAGAGGAAAACTCTCATTGCCTGCATCTACAGAACACAGGCAAAATAAACTACCCCCTACACACACACACTGTACAGTTTATGTTCATTATTTGAGTTAACAAAATTCTATTGAGTGCCATGTACGTTAATTTGTGTATGATGTGCATGTATGAATGCGTCTATATTATGTGAATGCACCCCTGTGCGTGTGAATCTATCTGTGAGCGAAGCCACGAGGAAGGCCTAAGGGCAAAGAGGACACAGGCAGGTAAGGCGACATCTAACCACCCAAGGGCGCCAGAAATTATCCTCTGGAGCGGGTTATACTTGCACAAATGCTGTAAATGTTGCAGTTAGAGATGACAATGGGACTGTTGATGAGAACAGAATGATCTCAAAGGTATCCTTCTAGAGAGCAGAAAATGTCATTGGTGGGCAAAGATAGAAAGACATATGCTCTTGGGAGAGGACATGGAGGGAAGGGGAGAAAAGATAAGCTACGTTACACCACTGATTGAGAGCAGTTATTGGGTATTCTCTACACTTTTCAATTAAACATTTTAAAATAAAATTAATTATTTTTAGATATTTCTGAAGTTGCATGGAAGTCTTCTTAAATTTGTGGTTGTTTGGACTGCAACTAACAGTGGTGAAAACCACTGTTTTCACTTCTAAAGTAGAAGAAAGTAGGGGCTGGCCATTAACTTTTCTTCTTAATCTCTGGCTAAATTTCATCTGCCATTTATATCCATCAACAAGGTACCAAATTCGTATATTACATATGAGATGCTGCTCATGTGGGAAAGAATTCGCGTCGATGCTAGAGATAAGGAAAGTTCTTGGATAGAAACGTCAGTTCTCTAGTCTCGCAGGCCATCATGTTTGTTTGGGTTCACAGGTGGATATAGCCATCATAAGAATACAACGGAGGAAAAGCCAACATGGTAGAATACTTAGCAGTAATTTCTGCAGAGACGAAAACAACTTACTCATTATAAAAGTCAGACCCTAGATCTCCAAACTAATAGAGATCTAGTTTTTAGTTCTGGTTTAGAAATATGATGCACACATATCACATGTTTATCATTTCATAAGAGAAGTAGGTAGGAAAAAACTCTTGGTCCTAGGAATCAAGAAGAAACAGTTCTTTTTCTGAAGTAGTAAGAATGACATCTTATAGAATGCAGTAAAAAAAAAAAAAGAAAATCAGAACATTCTCTTCATTGCTGCTCCCAAGGAGACCAACACTCCTCTTAACAAGAAGAAATGGCCCACTGTGAAAAAACTGGGCCCGTTGTAAAGCTGAAGGACCAAGCAGACCTGACTACTTAGGACTCAAAAGTGACAAAGCACTGAAAAGAGGGAACCTGATCAGTCTAGAAAAGCATCCAGCAGGAGCACACAGCTTGGAAGCAATGGCTTTTCCACGCTTGACTCCAAGCTTCCCTGGAGCATATGACTTCAAGCACTAAGATGTCTATATCCTGTCCTTAAGAGATAGCACCAGACCAAGCCTGCTCACCTGGTCATCCTTTATTCCCACGTAGATCAGCCCATGACCTCATTGCAGATGGCCCGATAAGACTACCTTCTGGGCGCTGAAGGAGTTCAGGACATGCCCCCTCAAAATATGCCACTTTGATACATTGGCATTTTGAACTGAAGTCACTTGAAAAACAGCAAATGCAGGGAGAGGCTTTCTCTGAACTCCCCTTACCTACCTAAAGACAGATCCTCCAAAAGGGACTTAGTTGTCATAAAGCCCCTCTCCTGGAGTATCATCAACCAGGAAGATTGACTGTTATCGTCACAGGAGAGGAGACTGGAAGTCAATACTGTACCAAAACAAACTCTGTCACAAACTACCATACCTCCCATCTATTCATCGAATGGCCCATTCATCTTTCCTACAAATCATTTACTGTCCCCCAAGTGGCCTACATTCTCTCTCTCCTTCCCCTAGCAAGACGGTATATAAGCTCTCAAATATCACTACTTTTGGGGGGTATGTACTTTTTTCCTCTGAAGCCTCCTTGCACGTAATATTAAAAATTAATAAATTTGTACAGCATTTCTCTTATTATTTTGCCTATTGTCCAGTTATTTTGTAGACCCAGCTACCAAACCTAGGAGGGTAGAAGGAAAGTCTTTCCTTTCCTACATGTAGTCTCCTCCCAGCACCACTCCGTCCCCACCAGGCTGCAGGCTGCCCAACACGGGTGCATCAGAAGGACATTTTAAAACAGGAAGAAAATGAGCAGGATGATGACTTCTTGGTAGGTTATATTGTAACAACCTTTCGTTAAATAATTAGCCTCTCAATGTCACATTCATTTTAAGAAGGCTTTGCCAACAAATAATAAAAATAGTCGCATGTAGGGATTTGATCCAGGATGTGAATCCTTTACCAACATCAAAGGTAAGCTGTGTCTCTACAGCTCTCCTGGGCCTATGCAGAGTGAGCTGACAGTCCTCTGTGACTCCAAGCCATGGCCCAAGCAGCAAGTGCATTCCATGTCCCAGGTGAGTGAATGCTGGGAGGCTGGTCCTCGCCTACACCAGGCCCAGACCCCACCTTCCCACCAGAGGCTGCTGATAGCAACAGCGGCCTGCTCGGCCACCACAACTGCTCCACAGCCAACTTGGCTGAGACCTCCCAACACCACACCCAATATGGCTAACAAGAACCTTTGTTCCCAGTACATTTGATCATCAAAATAGCATCTCATTTCCCTCCAGAGGAATGCAATTTTGTCTCCATTTCAAGTAGTTTGATGTGTGGTAATCGGAGGGAGACACAAATTTTGAACTTGAGCTCTATGTTGTGACTAACATTAATTTAAATATTCTACTTCAAAGATCTGGGTTGTTCCTCCAAACTGCTTTAAAACCCACCACGATTTTTCGTTGTTTCAGAAACCCACAGTGCAATCTGCAATGCATTATAAATTTTGAGCCGAGAATCTTATCTATATTTTCTTGTGCATTCCAAAAGCCCCAAAGTACTGATCAGAGACAGTGCCCACATTCCAAGTCTAGTGCCACAAATTTGCTGCAAGTTGGGGGAGAAAAGATTGAGAGTAACAGATGTTTGGGTTGCCTAGTCTTGTTATTTTCAAGACTTCATCAACAATGCAAAGTTTTAAATTAGAAATGTACTATAGTTCTATTGTTCCCTATGGAAATTTCTAACTAAAACCAGAGTCTAAGAATTCATTTTCAAAGAAAAATTCTAACTTTGGTTTTAAGAGGGAAAAAACTATCCTCTTAGAAGGGAAGAAAGTTCAGTCTGATGAGCCCCTTTCAGTCAGCACCACAGCGGGGAGCAGAATGCAGTGGGTGGTAAACTGCTCTCCCCTGTTCTTGCAGACTTAGTGACTCCACAGGGTGTGCTCCCCAGGCTCCGATTGTCCAAAAGGAAGGCCATAGGAGATGGCTCACAGCCCTACTACAGCGAGAATGTTTTGTGGGTCTGGTCCCACCATGTTCAGGATAGCTCCACATGAGGTATCCTGACTAGCTTCAAAGACAGGACGGCTTTAGAAGCCCCTCCAGAAGGCTTGCCTGCATCTACTCAACCATCCATACTGCTCAACCCCCACTAGGGTTTGCACGCCAGGAGGGAAAGTTATTAGCTCCCTCCTGGACTCAAAGGGAAGAGGGAGCAGAGTCTGTTGTTTGCTCTCAAATCTTCATCCCTGGTGGCTGTTGGTTCACATATTAGCCAACTTCAAAGGGATAGCAACACAGCGCTTAAATTATACAAGATTTCAGAAGAACTCAGATCCAGGGCTTTTTTGGCTGATGATGTAGCGACAAGTAAAACTGGTAAAGTACAGCCAGTTTTATTTGAATATAAATTTATAGGAGGAAGTCAATACCTCGTTGTTGTTATTGTTGTTGTTGTTGTTCCTAAAATTCTTTTATCCTTTTATCTTGACTCTTCCATGAAACCACTTCCGATTATTCTACCCTACAATGATCCTTCCATTCTCTGAACTCTAAAAAATACGTCCAGTATCTGCTGCCAACCAAGCACTTTATAATGCACCCACCTATATTAGTACTTTTAATACTGACTCCCCAAATTGATTTTAAGTATCTCAAGAGCAGACAGAATGTCTTACACTTATTTCCAGGACCTATCACAGGGATAGTGGGGATGGGGGATCCAAGAGAACCATTTGGCATAAGCCACTATTCAAAAGAAGACTCAAATTTAGATTTTTAATGATATCTCCAAAAGAGATTACACCTAGACTTCTGGCAAGACTTTTAAGAAGAAGCATTTCATCCAACAACTTTGAATTCATCATAGTTTCTATGATCCCTTTTGGCATTACTTTATTTTTTAGTATCTCAGGAGCCTCAAAAAAAACGAAGTGGCTCAGTTTACTTCAAACTTTCTGTAGTTCCTGGCACCATGTTACAAAAGATATGCCCAGCAAACACTCCCTAATGGTCAACAGACATTCTGTAGGTGGAAAGGAAGATGTACAAAACCGGCATGGCACTTTGCTATGACCCAACCAGAGGTCAGAGACCCGGGGTAACTGAAAGGACCCAGGCTAGACTGGCTGCAGCCCACCTCCAAAGCAATTGTGTCTTCAGGGTCCTCCCTGCTTCCATAGGGAGAAAGCAAGAACCTTAGTATCAAAAGAAGGGGGATGCCCTCTTCTTTTGATAATGAGGTACTTTCTAAGAACTTAGAGATAAGATGGGCCTTTGAAACTTAAACTACTAAAATCCAGAGACAAGGGCTATGCTTAACCTATTGTGGGAGTAAGTCATGCAGGAAACTGTCATCTATGGCCAAAGGGTTCTAAAAAACACAGAACTCCAATCAAAGTAGTCTCTGGAAGTAATCTCAGGGAAGCAGGACTAGAACATGACTGTAACAGAGTGTTCAAAATCCCACATACTCTCTGGAGAAAGGTATTGTGAAGGAAAGTGTGTGCATAGTAAAGGGAAACACAAATTAGTCATGAATTCATTGCATGAGTTCACTTAGTGGCGAGGCTCTAGGGAAGCCAATAAGCTCCTGGTGACACCTCCAAAACTGTCTTATCTCCTAGGCACCTCTTTCTGGCCCATTCTTGATTTT